GACTGGCAGCCACGAGGTCTAGATGCGTTTTGCCGGGCCGAAAAAACGCATCTAGCTTTCAGTCTTGCCGAAAACCATGGTCCAGGGCCAACTCCGGAAACGAGCGTAGGAACGGAAGGAGCACGACGTGTAGATGCGTTTTGCCAGGCTAAAAAAATGCATCTGTCGTGTTTCCGGGCGTGTTACCACTACCACTACCACTACCACCACCACCACCACCACCACTACTACTACTACCACTACTACTACTACTACTGCTGCTACTACTGCTGCTACTGCTACTACTACTACTACTACTACTACTACTACTACTAGTACTACTACTACCACTACTACTACCACTGCTACGACCACTACTACTACAACTACTACCTACTACTACTACTACTACTACTACTACTACTACTACTACTACTACTACTACTGCCACTACTACTACTACTACCACTACTACTACTACTAACTACTACTACTACTACTACTACTACTACTACTACTACTACTACTACTACTACTACTACTACTACTACTACTACTACTACTACTGGACTACTACTACTACTACTACTACTACTACTACTACTACTACTATTACTACTACTACACGACTGCCAGCACGAAAACAGCACGAGGTCTAAATGCGTTTTGCCGGGCCGAAAAAAACGCATCTAGCTTTCATTCTTGCCGAAAACCATGGTCCGGGGCCAACTCCGGAAACGAGCATAGGAACGGAAGGAGCAGGACGTGTAGATGCGTTTTGCCGGGCCCAAAAAACGCATCTGGCGTGTTTCCGGGCGAGCTACTAATACTATTACTACTACTGCTGCCTACTGCTACTACTACTACTACTACTACTACTACTACTACTACTACTACTACTACTACTACTACTACTACTACTACTTCTTGTACTACTACTACTACTACCACTACTACTACCACTGCTACGACCACTACTACCACAAATGCTACGACAACTACTACTATCAGTCCTACTACTACTACAGCCACCATTACCCCTACGACCACTGCTACCACTACTACCACTACTACCGCTATACGACTGCCAGCGCGAAAACAGCACGGGGTCTAAATGCGTTTCGCCTGGCCGAAAAAACGCATCTAGCCGTCATTCTTGCCAAAACCATGGTCCGGGGCCAACTCCGGAAACAAGCGTAGGAACGGAAGGAGCATGATGTGTAGATGCGTTTTGCCAGGCCCAAAAATTTCCGGGCGAGTTACCACTACCACTACCACTACCACTACTACTACTACTACTACTACTACTACTACTACTACTACTACTACTACTACTACTACTATTACTACTACTACTACCACTACTACTACTAACTACTACTACTACTACTACTACTACTACTACTACTACTACTACTACCACTGCTACGACCACTACTACTACTACTACTACTACTACTACTACTACTACTACTACTGGACTACTACTACTGTTGCTGCTGCTACTACTACTACTACCGCTACACGACTGCCAGCCACGAGGTCTAGATGCGTTTTGCCGGGCCGAAAAAACGCATCTAGCTTTCAGTCTTGCCGAAAACCATGGTCCAGGGCCAACTCCGGAAACGAGCGTAGGAACGGAAGGAGCACGACGTGTAGATGCGTTTTGCCAGGCCAAAAAAAATGCACCTGTCGTGTTTCCGGGCGTGTTACCACTACCACTACCACTACCACTACCACTACTACTACTACTACTACTACTACTACTACTACTACTACTACTACTACTACTACTACTACTACTACTACTCTTACTACTACTACACGACTGCGAGCACGAAAACAGCACGAGGTCTAAATGCGTTTTGCCGGGCCGAAAAAACGCATCTAGCTTTCATTCTTGCCGAAAACCATGGTCCGGGCCAACTCCGGAAACGAGCATAGGAACGGAAGGAGCATGACGTGTAGATGCATTTTTCGGGGCCGGGAAAACGCATCTGGGAGCATACTCCTTCTAGGAGCTGCCTTGAAAATCCCCTGCTTGTCCAGATCGCATGTGGGAGCGTGCTCCTTCTAGGAGCTGCCTTGAGAATCCACCACTCGTCTAGATGCATTTTTCGGGGCCGGGAAAACGCATCTGGGAGCGTGCTCCTTCTAGGAGCTGCCTTGAGAACCCACCGCTCGTCTAGATGCATTTTTCCGAGCCGGGAAAACGCATCTGGGAGCATGCTGCTTCTAGGAGCTGCCTCGAGAACCCACCGCTTGCCCAAATGCATTTTTCGGAGCCGGGAAAACGCATCTGGGAGCATGCTCCTTCTAGGAGCTGCCTTGAGAACCCACCGCTTGTCCAAATGCATTTTTCGGAGCCGGGAAAACGCATCTGGGAGCATGCTCCTTCTAAAAGCTGCCTTGAGAATCCGCCACTCGTCTAGATGCATTTTTCGGGGCCGGGAAAACGCATCTGGGAGCATGCTCCTTCTAGGAGCTGCCTTGAGAATCGAATCCACCGCTCGTCTAGATGCATTTTTCTGGGCCGGGAAAACGCATCTGGGAGCATGCTCCTTCTAGGAGCTGCCTTGACAATCCACCGCTCGTCTAGATGCATTTTTCGGAGCCGGGAAAACGCATCTGGAAGCATGCTCCTTCTAGGAGCTGCCTTGAGAATCGAATCCACCGCGCGTCTAGATGCATTTTTCGGGGCCGGGAAAACGCATCTGGGAGCATGCTCCTTCTAGGAGCTGCTATTGAATATCCACCGCTTGTCCAGATGCATTTTTCGGGGCCGGGAAAACGCATCTGGGAGCGTGCTCCGTCTAGGAGCTGCCTTGAGAATTCACCGCTCGTCTAGATGCATTTTTCGGAGCCGGGAAAACGCATCGGGAAAACGCATCTGGGAGCATGCTCCTTCTAGGAGCTGCCTCGAGAACCCACCGCTTGTCCAAATGCATTTTTCGGAGCCGGGAAAACGCATCTGGGAGCATGCTCCTTCTAGGAGCTGCCTTGAGAACCCGCCGCTCGTCTAGATGCATTTTTCGGGGCCGGGAAAACGCATCTGGGAGCATGCTCCTTCTAGGAGCTGCCTTGAGAATCCACCGCTCGTCTAGATGCATTTTTCCGAGCCGGGAAAACGCATCTGGGAGCATGCTCCTTCTAGGAGCTGCCTTGAGAATCCACCGCTCGTCTAGATGCATTTTTCGGAGCCGGGAAAACGCATCTGGAAGCATGCTCCTTCTAGGAGCTGCCTTGAGAATCGAATCCACCGCTCGTCTAGATGCATTTTTCGGAGCCGGGAAAACGCATCTGGGAGCATGCTCCTTCTAGCTGCCTCGAGAACTGTCCAAATGCATTTTTCGGACCGGGAAAACGCATCTGGGAGCGTGCTCCTTCTAGGAGCTGCCTTGAGAATCCACCGCTCGTCTAGATGCATTTTTCGGGCCGGGAAAACGCATCTGGGAGCATGCTCCTTCTAGGAGCTGCCTTGAGAATCCACCGCTCGTCTAGATACATTTTTCGGAGCCGGGAAAACGCATCTGGGAGCATGCTCCTTCTAGGAGCCTTAAAAATCAACCGCTCGTCTAGATGCATTTTTCGGGGCCGGGAAAACGCATCTGGGAGCATGCTCCTTCTAGGAGCTGCCTTGAGAATCCACCGCTCGTCTAGATGCATTTTCGGAGCCGGGAAAACGCATCTGGGAGCATGCTCCTTCTAGGAGCTGCCTTGAGCATCCACCGCTCGTCTAGATGCATTTTTCGGAGCCGGGAAAACGCATCTGGAAGCATGCTCCTTTTAGGAGCTGCCTTGAGAATCGAATCCACCGCTCGTCTAGATGCATTTTTCGGAGCCGGGAAAACGCATCTGGGAGCATGCTCCTTCTGGGAGCTGCCTCGAGAACCCACGGATTGTCCAAATGCATTTTTCGGAGCCGGGAAAACGCATCTGGGAGCGTGCTCCTTCTAGGAGCTGCCTTGAGAATCCACCGCTCGTCTAGATGCATTTTTCCGTGCCGGGAAAACGCATCTGGGAGCATGCTCCTTCTAGGAGCTGCCTTGAGAATCCACCGCTCGTCTAGATACATTTTTCGGAGCCGGGAAAACGCATCTGGGAGCATGCTCCTTCTAGGAGCCTTAAAAATCAACCGCTCGTCTAGATGCATTTTTCGGGGCCGGGAAAACGCATCTGGGAGCACGCTGTTTCTGGAGACTTCCATCAGTTGTGCCCCCGGAGCCTTGCAAGCTGGTCGAATCGGATCGGTCGAATCGCTTCGGCCCTAGTCGAATCGAAAAACCGAATCGAGCCGAATCGCATCGGCCATCCATGTTGAAGAAACTGAGAAGTCTGTGTAAGTACACGTTCGTCGAGCCCTTCAGGAAGAACTTCTTCAGCGTGTTGTTGAAATACTTGCAGAAGGTCATTCTGGAGGACGGCCTTGCACATGTGAGCAGGAGTGGTCCTCTCTTGGATGCTTTGATGGTGGTGAAGGTCACCCAATCATCTACGAGTTCTTCATATCTAAACCAGCTGAGTTTTCCGTCGTACGATGGCGGCTGCTTGGCGGTCATCGATAAATTGAGCGTCTCTTCAGTGAAGCCGGATGATCGGCCTACACTTGAATATGCCTACATGAAGCCTTCTCCATCGGATCTTGTTTTGGATCTCTGCGGAAAACCCGCTCTGCTACCACAAATTGAGTCCCACTGCCGGGGGTATCTTATCCCCGAAGGGAACAAATACCTTGTGGTAGCGGAGGATCTTTATTTGGTAGGTTCCTGGAGCTACTCCGGAGAGTCCAAGTGTCAATACTGATGGATTGATACTGGATTAGCCCTAGTACCTGAAAGTGGTCCGCTGTCGTACCTTTGTATCACGGATGCAATGGCTCAGTGAGCTATGTACATCGAGTGTGTGACATGAAAGGCCTTGAGCCAGTAAAGGTTGCATGGAGATCAATGAGTCCAAAAAAAACACTGGGGGGGAATTAATCCGATTTTTGATCTTGCCACTGATCGACACCCAGTGCCCGCCTCCGGCACCTCATCGATGAAGGTCAAGTAGTACCGCAGCGGCATGGCGAAAAAGATCTCTGTGACACGGGGTGATTTAAGCGCCAGACTGCTGACTGCCGAGCCAAATTGAAATAGCCAAGGAGGGCGGATTCGCCAACTTGGGAGATGCATATTGAGTGGTGCAAGCCTCAAAAAGACAAACCCGGCCGCGCAAAACCATGGATATACCTGGAAGACCTACGTTGTCCCACGGCAACTGCCTTAAGCCCCAATTCAACGCATGGGAAACCCGACAACCACGCGCACGCCGATTCCCGGGGTGTTGACAGCCAGCTTTCAAACTTGTCCAGCCCGCAAAACATGGCCCAGCCACAGCAGCCTCTCCTTCTCAGGCCCAATGTAATGGGTGGAGAAAAAGGTACGCAAGTTGTCACAGCTGCGCCCCCCCAAGAGCTGCCCATCCTCACGCGTGCCTCCGAAGATATGAAGGCACTTGCATGAAAACCTCTTTCGTATTTGCATTCGCCCCCTGCGGTTCAAGCTAAAGGCCTGGTCACCGTCTCTGTACCCATCTTCCCTCTCACCCTAGAAATAAGCGACTTCGTGGCCGCTTTTCTTGATTTCATGTTAACCCCACATCAATCAACCCCGCTTTCTTAATATGTGGGGGTGGTTTTTGGCCCCAAAAGTGGTCTGATTCCCCACCTTTCAACCAGAATCGGACAAATTCATCTTGATGAACAGGGGTTGATGAGAAAAAAAAAAAGGGGTCGACCTTCGTGAAAAGTAGAGAGTCCTCCAGTAGAGAGCTTAGAATAAGGGTGCCCGATCTTTTTTCTGTAGCACCTATTTTAGTAGGGGAAACCCTCACCAAAAAAGAAACGGTGAGAGGTCGGGCACAAATTGCTGGGGGATCTAGTGAACCTGCGGGCCAATTGGACCCCTCCCCAGCGAAGCTGAGGTCCGGGTGCGCGGCGATCACTGAGAAGGGGATCACCCGGAGGAAGCCCGGCACCGACACCCCGGTCACCTCCACCTGACAAAGAAGGCTTCCGGAAAAGCCTTGGGGTGATCTTGGGTTTGGGGAGCCAAAAAATAATAAATGCCGGTTTAGGGGGGAGTTACCACTAAACCACCATCAGCAAAAATGTGACATGTGTCCCAAGAACAAAGTGGTCCATTCAAGTCCAAAACGGCAAGTACTCCCAAAAGGAAACAGGCTGGCAAACAAAAAGAAGCTGGTACTTTTCTTTGTGTTTTTCTTGGTTCTTGCTGTTTGCTGTTAGGCGGCGATGCGTCGAGTTGCAGTGAGCAGGACTGGGGGAGGGGGAGGAAAGCTTGCACGCACACGAACACACTGAGTGCACGCAGGTTGCATGGCCAATGGTCGATGCTGGCAAAAAGCATCAGGGGAGCCACCCACCATGTCCATCCCAAACATGGATTTGCTAGAGTCTCTGTGACGAGGGGAGCACGCAAACGACCCGCTTGCTTCAGAGTGGGACTCAATGTATGGACAAATGGTATCATTGCAAGACGATATACCAACTCAGCTGCACTCCAATGTGTTTCGCTACATGCATGGCTTTTTTTAAGTACAGCTTCGAGAAGGATTTCTGCCGTGCGTTGGCTGCAGTTTGTCGATTCAGATCTTCCAGCAATTGAACTGCAACTACGCAAGAAAAACATCGGGCTGTTCGACTAGTGTTGCATTAATTATATATTAAAAAAACAATGGGTGTCCGAATTCTCCCGTTGCGCGAGCCAGAGATGACGGATTGCCGAACAGCGCCCGGGGAAAACCCGCGGGTGACGCAGCTTCTTTCTCCACCTGTGCCCTCCAAAAGGGTGCAGATCGCTGGGTCGCTCGGGCCTCTGGTCCCGAAACGGCCAGATCGGTGTGTCCCCAAAATGCCAAGAACTGGCCAAAAAGCCGTGGTTCCGGGTGGTCATCGCTGGGTCTGGGAAACAGGGCAAATCACGCCAAAGATTAAGGGCCCATTCCAAGTACACTCCAACAAGCAGCGCTCGGGGCTGCTGCTATGTTTATATAGATGGTACCCTTTAAGGGAAACAAACAAAAAACCAAACCAATGCTAAGGGTCATTGGCACGCATGTGCAAATCCTTCAAGAGGCGTTCACCGTGCAAGCAGCCCTGTTGTGTCAGAAAACTTGTCTCATCACGCCTTAGGTGTTGGTCATCCGAGGCGTTCCATGGGTGTCCGCCTCGTGTTGCAAGCTTTGCATATGCATTCATTCCACACCCGTCATAAAAGCGTCAAAGTGAACAAGGCATGTGCCATACCGCTGGGTCTTTTTTTCGATGGACCCTTGGGCTGGACACTAAAGGACACCACACCAAGTTTCAGGGTCTATGTTCAAAAAGCAGTGCTCGGGGGGTGCACGTCCAGGCCGGTGTGTCTTTTTCCCGATGATATTGTTGGGCTAAGGGAAACAAATTGAAAACCACACCAAGCTTAAGGGTCTATTCTTTTTGGATCGCCCTCTTTTTCCAGTGGTTCGAAGCCCCTTGTAGCGGTTCAGATCCCAATTTAGAGATACCCCAAATAGGGTGGAAGTCGACAGCGACATCAAGTTGCGCCTGTTTGGCGTCTTGGAGTTGGGGTTGGAGGCCTTGGGTGGTTTGGATTGCATGAAAGAAGATGGCGCAATCCCTTCAGTCCGGGGATGATGAAACCAACATGGGGGAGTTGAGTTCACCTACTTTCACCCCAAACTACTGTACCACTATAGCCGAGAACCAGATGTAATGTGATCTCCAGGTTGTACAACATGACCCTCCCCGGTTGCCTACCTTGGGGAAAGGAACTACAAGGGTTGGGGCTGGCAGATGAAATCCTCAAATTGTCAGTGTCCCTCTAGCCCTTTGGTTTGCTGTTGGAAAAAAGTGAACCTCATCTGGTCTCACTAAACACAACCTAGCAGGGGCAACACTTCGAAAAACAAGACCATCTTCTGCAAGGACTAAAGCGCCAACTGTCCACCCAACCAGCCTCACAAAAGGCCCAAAGCGAACATCTCAACCCTGAAAACAAACCAACAAATTCAAGCCACGCACCAAAATTGCCTAAAATAAAGAACTACACCCACCCTGAAAGGAGCTGAACACATATCCAGGATGCAATACGTGGGTTTTGTGTTTTCTCTCGCGACGAACACGCCACCTCCTGCTTGGCAGTGTTCACCATCTCTACCACAACCTCGATCTTCTCACCCGAGCTTCTGGAATTATAACCTGGCAGTGGAACCCTCCAGAAACACAATATGTCCACTCCAAACACTCATCCTTTTTGAGTATGGAGTATGGTGCCAGCCCCTGCTCCAACAACATATGTGGCTATGGGTCAAAATTAAACCACAGGGGACCGCAGGTTTTAGTCCTTGTGTCCATCTAATATTTGTTCCATTACCACAGCCATGTATTTACCCACAAAATGCCAGACTGTTCCAGAATCCCCCCCCCCCCCCGGCCACATGCCAGGTGTTGACATGGTGACAGGTTCCAGATACCGCCCTTCTTGAAAGTCTGGTTATTCAGCCAACCACATAGGTGTCCTTTTTGGGAAATAGATGGCCCTGGTAGATGATTGAGGCACCAGGTAAACCAGGGCCCTCTGTTTTTTCCCCCCCCCCCCTTTTTTTAAAGGACACCTATGGCCAACCACAATTGGCACTGGTTCTTTTTCCCCGAAGAACCACCAAAAGCGATTCGCAGATCGAGGGTTCGTCAAGATCCCCGCAAAATTGGGAGCTCGGGCCGGGCACTGAAAGAGGCTGCCCTTCCTCATCATCTTTCCGCGCTGGTAATTTCCAGATGTTGAATGTGTCAACACCCTTGCAAAAGGGAAACAAAAGGAACACCACGCACCAATTTTGAAGGGTCTATTTGGGTCTTTCTCAACGTTTCCCTTTAAACCAACCAGTTTAAACACAAAAAATAAAAAGAAATAAATAAAAAAATAAAAATAATAACGACCCAGAAGACAAGCCCTCAGCTTCCGACTCTGGGTGGTTTGGAGCCGTGATTTGGGAACCAGGGCTTCAAATCCAATCCAAGCCACGGATGTTCCGGGTTGCCCGCTCACCATGCCAGCCCCCCCCCCCCCCCCCAACCAAAAACCTGAAAACAAAAACTCCGTGACCTGCCGGGCCCCACTTTCTCCGACCCAAACAAAAAACACCCGGCACGCCCTTCAAGAGAAGCAAATAATAATTAAAAACAAAAACCAAAATAATAATCTAAACAACTAATAATTAAAAAGAAAAGCCAAAATAGCTGTCTAAACAAGAAAAAAATCGAAGAACAAAAAGCACCGAGGCTTGGGCAGATGTGCGCGTCCGGCTTAATCCACTCCGGTAGCTTCCAGTCTGACGGCACCGAGTTCCTGTCCCGAACGGACGCGGCTTTGGGGTTTGACTCCACCCACCGAAGCAGCAGCCAGCCCTTGGGAAGCTGAACGTTTTTTTTGCCGAAAGTTTGGTGCAGCTGTTGGTTGCTGAGAGTTGGTGGGTGAATTTCCTCGGTTGATTCCTGCTCCATGCTGTTCAAGCATCGTTCTTTTCACAAAGCAGCCGCTTTCCCTGGGTTTCCGGAGGTTCTCTAGAAAGAAGGACGGGACACCAAAATGGAACACTTTTGTAAGTGACAACATGGACCAAAACCTGCGGGTTTTTTTTGCTGGTGGTTGAATACTGACCCATATCCATATGTGCATCTCTTCTTTGAAAACCGCTTGTCCTTGGCTTATACTAGGCTTATCCAGGGATACACCCCACCCCTCACTACTCCTTGGTTGGTTTGGATTTGGATTCCTTCTTAAACCTGCTTGGAACTGTCTTTGGCTTACCTTCAGCTTCCCCCTAGGTGGTTTGGAGCCCGGTGGTTTGGTGTTCTGGGGTGGTTTAGGGATGCAGATATTCAGGAAACCCCTTGCTGGTTTGGAGCCCGGTGGTTTGGTGGTTAAAGGGTGATTCAGGAAACCCCTTGGTGGTTTGGATTAGTTTGAAGCCTCAGTTCGGGAGGGGGGGAAATCGGGAGGGGGGGAAATCGGACAATTCTTCCTTACCATCAAACCTCCGGGCTCCAAACCATCAAAAAAAAGGAAGCTGAATGCTTGGAATGGTCTTTGACTCACCTTGCTGCAGTTGGGATATGCGTATGTTGAAGAAAACAGATTGGGTGTGTTGGTTTAAAATATATTTTTTTATAACCAAATGGTTCCAATTATGGTTGATTTAACTTGGCTTTGTGGTTGAACATGGTCGAAAACTCTAAGTTGAACTTAATCTACAAAGGTTGTATTGTTGTTTTTCCCCCGTATGATTGATTTGCGATGCATGGACATCCACCGTAGCTCCAAGGTGGATACTTCTTTCGTTGATTCCTCCTTCCTCGGCTTGAGGTCGCTGATTCCTCTTTGATTTGCTCACCTCATGACTTGGTTGATTCCTCTTCATTCACCCGGATTTTTTCCCTGTAGTCTATTTTTGTAGGGGAACCCTCCCCAACAAAGGGAAAAAGGGCACCACTGGGCAACAGAGTATCTGACCCTTTGGGTGCTCCAAAGGCCTCCCATGTTCCAGCGTTATGGTTCGCTCATCTTTCAAAGCCCGCCTACCCCCCAAGACCCCAATCGTCATGTTCAGTATGTTTGTTTAAAAACCTCTGTTTGTTTGCGGTAAGTACCATCATGTCCCCCCTAATCATACAATGTTGACCTCGCATAAATCAACCCCAGTCTGTTAATCAGGGGGCGTTCCCCTCCAAAAGTTATGATTCCCCACATGTCAGCCAGGAACATTTTGTTCTAAACTGGGGTTGATTGTGGGTCAACATTACGCCCACATCATATGAGCCAGAATCACAACCCGGTATTAAAATGGTCTAGCCCGAACCATATAATTAACGCATCTACTTATGGTTGGGATCGCAACCTTCATCTACCCGACTCGGTTTTCAGCAAGTGGCTCATATCCCCGTCCGATATGCCCCCCGAAAGGACGAGGCGGGGGTGAAAAAAACACCTCGGGCCCCGGCGTCGGAGCCGAAGCGCCCCCGCCCCGGGGGGCGGACGCGGCGCCTGGCGAAGAAAGATCCGCACGCGTGGGACGGACCGCGGCTCGAGAACTCTTCGCACGAGTCTTCGCGCACTCAGAAAAGTGCATCGAATTGGCGGAAACACGTGGGGGCGGGGGGGAGGGGGGGAAGAGCTCTGCGACTCTTTTGGATCATTCCAATAAGCTGAATTCAGAATCGGATCCCCAAAGGATCTTTACCATGAGCTCATCAAAACCCCAGGTGAGCTCGCCGTAAAATCGGCAGACTCTATATGCACAAAGAAACCAGGATTTCCAAAGTTTATCTCCGAGGCAACAACAACAAGGAAGTACACTTGCTGGTCAGGGAATGACACGGAACTGAACCATCAAAACTATTAATCGGAGAAACCAGGATGTTCACAGAAGGCTCATTTTTAACCCCAAGGAGCTTCCCTGGGGTCCCCCGCCAGCGTATGGAACCCCTTTTGCAGGGGTTCCCCCATGTTGTGCGTAAAAGGCTGAGCTCTTGGAGAGCCTTTTTGGTGAGCTCTTGGACACCTTTTTGTTGGGAAAAGTACCTTCGGAAAGGGACAAGTGATCTTTTGGGACGAGTCCGCCGTGATCTTCCGAGCCTCCTTTGTGAGCAAAATGTGGGCATTGACAGAGAGCCAAACATGAGTCGGTTCCCCTTTCGAGTCGGCTGTTTTTTGTCAGGGTAGGACAAAGGCTTTGCTGACATTAGACACCTGCAGCCGATTTTTGTCAAACTGTCCAACCTGCAGGAGATGACAGCCGTCCATCAAATGCTGTGTCCGACCTGTTGCCACATCCTTCGCACGACACGCCCACATTACCTTTCCATGGCCAACTCAAAGTGAGTTTCCCTTCGAGTGGGGACCTTGTTCGAAAGACCCTTCAAGTACATGGCATCATTCCGCATATGTGGCCAAGGAATTGGCACGAGTAAACCAAAGAAGGAAATTGAAATACCCAACTGAATTTCTCAAAACCCGTCCATCAACAAAGTCATCCCAGTGGTAGGTTCAAGGGAAACAACCCCAGTTGATCTGAAAACGCTCAAATAAGGACCACAGTGCTCCCCTACACATACAATGGTGGGTTTCAGGGGTTCCCTTAAGTCCCATGGACAACAAAACACATGTCCAGGAGTGGGAAGGTTTTCTAATCTTTCCAGGGATCCTTCTTTCAAGCAAACCATCACACCCAGGGGGAACAGCGATCGGTTTTTGAGAAGTAGGATGCTTGAACAGAATGGAGCAGAAATCAAACCCTATCATGTAGGACCTTCATCAGCCCCAGTTTATTAATAGGGGGGTGTCCCTGGGTTTAGTGAAGAATCATCACTTTTGGAGGGGAACACACCCAATTCATAAACTAGCTTTTTTCATCCACCCCAGTTTATTCACTTTTTTGGGTGTGCCTGGGGTTGATGGAAAAAATGGGGTCAACCGTTGCACCCGACACCTCCACGGCACGCTCTCCCACTAAGCCCCCCCCGAAGACCCGGCGCGCCTCCGAAGCGCGCGCCCCGACCCATCAGCACCGCCGTGAGGCTTAACGAGCTCGCCCCCCGCCCGCCCTGGCGAGCGGAAGTGGGTTGGAGATGAGATGCGTAGACCCCGGCGAAGCAACCAACAAAACACAGGACGCAGCTTCCTTCTAAGAAGGCGGTTTTCGAGATGTGGATTGGTGTTCTGGGGTGTCCCATGCAAACCCTCTACGAGAGCCAGGGGTTCAAATCCCCAAAGAACCAATCCAAACCACCAACTAAGGGCTACCTGAAAGGCCGGGTTGTTCAAAAACCAACAAGACCTTGCAGCAAAATATGTTCAAATATAGAAATATATATATATATATAGAGAGAGAGATGGAGAGAGAAAACATGTGCTCTGTGTGTGTGTGTGTGCGTGCGTGTGCGTGGGTGTGCGTGGGTGTGCGTGTGCGTGTGCGTGTGCGTGTGCGTGCGCGTGCGCGTGCGCGTGTGCGTGTGCGTGTGCGTGTGCGTGTGCGTGTGCGCGTGCGCGTGCGCGTGCGTGTGCGTGTGCGTGTGCGTGTGCGTGTGCGTGTGCGTGTGCGTGTGCGTGTGCACCATGCGTGTGCGTGTGCACCATGCGTGTGCGTGTGCGTGTGCGTGCGCGTGCGCGTGCGCGTGCGCGTGTGCGTGTGTGCGTGTGTGCGTGCGTGCGTGCGTGCGTGCGTGCGTGCGTGCGTGCGTGCGTGCGTGCGTGCGTGCGTGCGTGGGTGGGTGGGTGGGTGGGTGTGTGTGTGTGTTTGTTTGTGTGTGCGTGCGGGTGCGTGCGGGTGCGTGCGGGTGCGTGCGGGTGCGTGCAGGTGCGTGCGGGTGCGTGCGGGTGCGTGCGGGTGCGTGCGGGTGCGTGCGTGGGTGCGGGTGCGTGCGTGCGTGCGTGCGTGTGTGCGTGTGTGGGGGATAAATATGTATGCTAATATGTGATATGTGTATGTATATGTGTGTATATATGTATATATGTTTGCATATGAATATATAATCTTTATCTGTAGATATATGTGTCTGCATGTGTATGCGGTTGGGACTTAAAAGGAGTTTATGCATGTCTTTATGGGCATGCACACAGATTTGTGTGTTTGCCTGTATGTGTGTGTGGGTGCCCGTTTGCAAGTGTAACTATGTATGGTTCTAATATGTAAGTACTATGCATGTGTATGGGTGTGTGTGTGTATGTGCAAGTGCAGGTGCATGTGCATGTGTATGTGTATGTGTATGTGCCTACATACACGCATGTATGTTGGTATGTATGCATGCATGTATGCCTGCATGCCTGCATGCGTGAATGTATGCATGTGTGTATGCCTGTGGATGTGTGTATGCGCGCATGTGTGTATGTGTGTATGTGTATGTGTATGTACGTATGTATGTGCATGCCTGCATGTATGTATGTATGTATGTATGCATGTATAGCATACACCTGGAAGTATGGCTGTCTGTGTGGGGGTGCGCGTAAGCCAGGTCTCACTTAACTAGCTTGGTCTAAGCCATTCCCCAACATGCAGTCCAACCTCCGGGAGTAAGAGCTGACAGCATTACACGTGTCTCCTATTTTTTTAAAAGAAAGAAGGACGCCAACCATATCTTGGACAGTACCCTGCAACAACGTGGAGTAGCAGGTACTACACGTCTCTCCCCTAAAAAAACGAGAAACACATCTAGGATATGCAGGGTTTGGTGATTTGGACACCGGAAGTCATTTCAGTTTCAGCCCCAAACTTCTCATAGCAAAGCATTGACGCGCTACTGCTGCAATGCATGCAATCAAGAAAGCACAAGACAACCACAATGCAAGCAAAATCCAAACATGCCAATCACAAGCAAATGCTCCCATCAACCCGTCACTCTCATGCTTCTGCACTCTTTTGTCCGTAGATCGGGTTAGTGCCAATTGGGAGCAAAAGGATGGGCAGGTCCACCTCTGGTGGGCCTGCCACTCATGAAACTGATGCAGACCGATCATCAGCTGTTGTCTCAGACAAGTTAGTTCAAGTGTGCATCTGCGATTTCCACTTCTGCCCAACTTGTGTCCGACACCTTTTCGTACGGGCACTGCCTGACAGTTCCCTTTTTTCACAGTGGGGACCACCCCCACTGTATCAGCAACCCCGGCAATCGCTCAGCTCGTCAAGAACTTGCTATGCAAAGGCACCGGAAACCCGGGAGGGTCTGGAGGGGGAGGGGGGGGAGGGGCGGGGGGAGGCAATGGCACGCGAAGCTGCAAGCGCACCAGCTTGCAGAATATTGAAAAATCTGAAGATGTGTCGTTGCAGAATAGGGAATGCGGAGCGAGCGCCTCTTGTTGTAGAAATCGGAACACTGAAAATGTGCTCTTGCAGAATTATAAGTGCAAATGTGTTGTTTAAGGCGCAGAGACCTGTTGCGTTGTCACCATGAGCAAGGCATACGAAATCCTGCACCACCTAAGAAACCCTGAAATGATTTGATTCCCACTGCAAATACCAACAAACGGTTTCAACCATGGTTTCAAAGTGGTGCGAACGGATTTCGTCCACATGGGGGGTGTCTTAAAGCAGAGGGGCCCCCAAAATGACTAGCTTCCTTTCAACCCAAAGCCTCCGAGGTGTCGGGCGGCAGGTCCCCAGCATTCCTGGCACTGGGTGCGGCATATCGGCTTTTCAGGGTTTGGGGGGGGGGGGGGGGATGGGGGGTGGGGCAGTGGGGCCAATAAGGGTCCCTTCCTTTGATGATCATTCGCAGTTTGAGCCGTCGTATCCTTGGTTGAAGACCCTTCATTTATGGTTAAAGTTCATTTGAGTACCTATGGCCTTCCAGTTTGCTCAAACGGCTTCAT